CTGGTTTTCTACTTTAATCAGCTCAGTTTCTTCAGCTATGATGCAAAGAATGGACACAGTATTTAGGCCTGATGCTATGAACACATATTGGTTTAATGCAAGGAAAACTGTTCAATTACTACAGATAGTGATTGGTGCCAAAGTGTGGTCTGTGAACCAGCAGCATTAAGCGTCACCTAAAAGATGCAAATTCTCAGGCCCCACCCCAGACTTGCTACATCTCTAGAAGTGGGGCACAGGACTCTCTTAACAAGCCCTCCAGGTGATTCTCTGAGGCTTGAGAACCACTACTCTAACATCTTGTAACTATTTCCATTGGCTACAGTGAAACATTGGCAAGTATGGCACCTGTAGCAACAGCAACACTATAAGCACCCCTGTTAACTGCAGGTGTGTTCCAGTGAACAGACTCTTTTGGCCAAGTCCTTGAGTCCAAGGGTTCCTCTTAAGTAGACTTTGTTTTTAAATCTCCTGAGCTCACAAGCCATAGTTTCTTCCTATTACCAGTCATAATTGACAGTTCATTCTCTCTGATAGAAGGGATGTTATGATACCCTTCATAATGTCCAAAGATTTACACCAGCCTGAATCCCTACTACTCTCTTTCCTGCGATAGCCATTTCCTTGAAGTCACTTTGAGCTGCTTGAAAAATCTAACATCCAACATAATACTCTTTTATATTTCTTTATGGCAGAATTATGTGACCTATAGGTCACAATTATTTACCAGAACTCACCAGAAAATGGTATGGAGTGAGACGACATTGCAAGCACACTTAATTCAAGATAACACAGTAGAACAAACACTTAACACAAAGAGCTGAAGCTCACTGGCCAGGACTGTGTAATGTTGTCATTACATAATCTTTCTTTAGCTGAAAAGGTATGGTAGCTCTTAGCTTGAGAGAACTGTATCACTGAGTTTGGTAATAGATTATTAGATAAATAAATAGAGATAGAGATAATTTTTTAGGGGAAGTGTTTTTAGAGACAAATAATATTCTAATGAATCAGCATGCAGGGAGTAGTGTTAAATGAAGTCAATGAGCATGACAAACAGTAAACGCCATCTTGTGATTTAATCTTAATGTTATTTCATGTATTCTGTGTTTGAATATATTCTTTTTAAAGGCCCCAGTGCAAGGGCAAACTTTTAGAACAGTGGGTCTGACCCCTGAATGTGCATCAGAATGAACTTTAAGCTTGTTAAAAATACAAAGTGCCTGGATTCCAAGAGATTTTTATATTGGTAGGTGTGAGGTGGAGCCCAGGAATCTGTCTGTAACAAGCGCTCCAGGTAGTTCTTGTGCAGGTGGTCCTTCACATTCATTCTGAGGCACACTGAGGCTAACTCAGGAAGGGGGGGAAGTGCACAAGCGTGAGATGGTAAAGCTCAGTTTCACAGGAGTTGTGCCTGTTTTGGATCCTTGCAATGCATTATTTCAAGCTTTATGAGTAGCACATTTATTCTGCCTAGTTCTAGAGTTATTTGTGTATTTGCCTTAGTCCTCCTGAAGACTGTCAGCTCCCTGAAACACAGGAATTACGTGGTACGCTCACCTTTGTGCATTCAGCTCAGCTTACCCTGGGCCTTCTCATTATTGAGAAGGTGCTCGGTAATTACTTGTCAAGTGGATGAAGGCAATAAGTTTAAAAATGAAATTCAAACAGTGTAATTGAAACAGTCAGAGTGTTTTCTTTTGGCCCCTTTCACCCACGAAGCTGTGAGACCTTGTAACGTGGGAGATAAGTTTTCCTCTTTCACGGGGCTGCTGAGGGGTAAAAATAAGGTAATGTGTGAAAACGCTTTAAAATTGTAAAACCACTTACTTTAATTTTTTTTAAAACATGACTGTCAGTTTGCTCTAACTCTGTTTCTGCTGTGAATGAGTGCTAGGTTGTATGACCGCGGCAAAGAACAGAAACCTCACTTCTGGCCCTAATGGAAAAGCAAACGCTATTATTTGGAATTTAAAAGAAACACATGACTTTCCCAACTTCCAGGAGAGTAAACAATCAATTAAATACTAAAAATTTATAATACAAATGGAAGAGGTACCCCACAGATAACGAAGGGAGATACGCAGGGGAGCACGGTAACTATTTGCAGTGCCGTTCGACCCTGAGATGACTTTCAGAAGTCTGCAAATGTTTAATGAAATGACGTCTGAATTTCAGTGGCTGCCCTGAGAGCTCTAAAAAGGTAGCAGGTGTCTGATGAGAGGACAAGTGCAAGTATGTAACATTCCTTTAAAAAACTGAAGGTGGTATTATGACTACCCCCCAAGCTGCACAGAACCCAAGAACTGAAAGAAATTAGATCACTTACAAGTGGCGATGTGCCCGGTGGCAAATGCCGGTCCAGGACTAGAGCCGGTCTAGCTCAATGAGGAAAATAAGGACCACGTACACGCAGTGAGTTTTCCATGAAGCTGTATTTACTCAATTGAGCCTACTGTGTTCTATTCTAAGACTAGGTCTTTCCTTGTTTTGGCCTTTTTAAAATGTCCTTGCTTGTACAAAATGGCAGTATATTTTTAAACTGGTGAATGAAAAGTTGACAATGATATTATGACTCTCCATTTGAATTTATTTACTCAGCCTAAAGTTTGAATTCCGGATCAGTGCATGCGAAGTGGCTTGAGTCAAATTTCTAATCCATTCAGGTTTTGATTTCTCCATGTGTAAAGTCACAAAGATTAACAATAACATATGCAATAATATTTGCAAAGACCTTAGCACGATTTGTTGCACATAGTAGGTGATTAATAATCGGAAGTGGTTAGATGAAGAACAAAGACAATACATAAGTGTTGTCACTAGATAAGTAAATTAGATGGAATGTTGATGGTATAAAGTTGTTTTCACGACTGTGTTTGATGTTTTTTTCATTTATTCCATGGTGGCCTCATGGAATTGGGACCTATCCATGCCTTTGTCCCAGGAGCAATTCTCAGCAGAAGGCACTAGGGCACTTTCCCTTTCATACACACAGCCGGCCCAAGAGCCCTGTGTCAGTGGTTAGGAGCATTCCAGAATTGGTGATAGAGTAGGCTTGTGCCTACTGGCTGAAGTTCTTCTTGGGTCTAGAATTTCAACATACACCCTTGGTTCTAGGACTAGAACTCCCCTATTGTATAATGTGTAACTTTGTATTTCCAATGCTTAAATTGTCATCAGTGTTTGCTGATGATTTGAATGAATAGATGTAAAACAAGGAATATAATAGCTCCATAAAGCATTAAGGTTTTCCCAATTATCTGTTTCAGGTACCTATCTGAAATAGATAGCATTCTGACAGGCGACCTGTAACTTACTAACTTGCTAAGAAAGACAGCAAACAGGAAAAAAGTAGAAGTTCCCCATTACTAAAACACAGTTAGGTCCATGACGGATATAGTCCATGTGTCCTGGCTGGCACCTTCGTAGTCAAGATTTAAGCCAAACTTCAGCTCGTAATGACTAGCCTCGTTTCCCTAAGAATCCTCAGAGTTCTGTATTTAAATTTTATCAGACTCCTTTAAATGCATTGGTATATTTTTCCTGAATATGGCCTAGGTCTGATGGCAAGGGAATTTGGCAATGGGATGGAACTTTCACTGAGTGCCTGACATATGCCAAATATTTTGTGTATTTATTCAAGCTTTGTAACCATGTTGCAATTGAGGAAACTAGAGCACGGAGGGCTTCACTAACTTTTCTGCTGTCTTATGGGGAGCATGTGACAGGGCCAGGTTTCAGGGCCAGGTTTGTGTGTCCAGGACTCATTCCGACTCTTTAACTTGTCATTTCCCCTTTTCTTTCCAGCAAATGTGAAAGACACAGGACACAGACTTTACCTAGAGGTAGGAGGGATTAAAAGAACTGTGGTGTGGTGAAAAGTCATACTGCTTGTCTGTTGGTAGTATGTGATTTGGGGCCTTAAGTTACCCAACTGTAAGGCCACAGAGTTGGAATAGATGACCTCTGAGTGGGGAGACCACACGGCCCAATTTGCCAGGACAGCCCTGACTTATACCAGTTGCACCAAGGCAATTGTATTAGCTCCCCCTTTCACTTTTAAGAGTGTTCTACTGTGGATCATAAATTCTATGGCCGCCCTCTATATATGGTTCTTTCTAGGCCTCAGTATCTATGATTTCAAGTTGACTCTAACAACTTATTTAATGACTGAAGCAGCATGAATGTTCATTTCCCAGGCCTGTGAAGTGTGCGGGACTGACACAACATGTGAGGTGACTTTCGTCTGGAGGGTGCCCTGTATTTCTGATAGGGATATTCTTTTTGCTCTTATTGCTTCCCTTTAAAAGTACACTAGTAAATCCCCTTCTAGTCAATTTGGTTCTAGTTAATTTGAGACTATTTTATAAATATATGTTTCCAGTTCACACTAATAGTGGTCACCACTGACTGAGTGCTCACAGAAGTCAGACTGAGTGCATTATCTCATTTACTGCACTTATTAATGCTATAAGACAGCCCACTTTCTGCATAAGGAAGCAGAGGCTTAGAGAAGTTCAAGTGACTTCCAACTAAGAGATGGAGCCAGGACTTCTTAACCTGTCAATTATACTATATTGAAATATATGTACATAAGCACACACATACATACACAGCTGATTATTTAAAAAATTATCAGGCCTCCTCAATTCCCACTGGCCTTTCCTGTATTTCCATAAAGTGTCAAAGCTACTTTTTGTAATTTCATCTTCCATTGCTTCCACCATTCATCTTTACCTTAATGTAGAAGCACATGCCTCAAATAAACCATCAACAGATTCTGAAGAAGAGACAGAATCTCAGGAAAAAGAAACAAGGTATCAGAAAGTGGATGAAATGACTATTTACTTATACAGGTCTTTTTTTTTTCTCCTTTTTTTTTTGGAGAATGTCTTTCTTTACCAGAGTATAAGACAGAAAACAGACACTTGCTTTTTTGTTTATATTACATAGACAGTACTTAAATAAAAACCACCAGCTGACACTCATATCATTCTGCTTTTATTTATTGTCTGGCTAACTTACAAAGAGGCAGATGTCTCGAATGGACTCTATCGCACCACTTAAACTATCCTGATAACATAGATACCAAAATGTGCATGTTTACATAGTGCAGTGGTATGAAAAACATTTTTTTCTTCCTTTACAGTCCCTGACTATAAACAGGGAAAAATTAATTTCATGTCAAAAATTTTGGGGCACTTTAACAATCATCCCATTTTTGCTACTAAGATAACAAAATTGGTATTACAAGTTAAAATATAAAGACCTAACACTTTTTACAGATATGTAAATAATCTGCTACTTAGACATAAAAAGTTGATTTCTTTCAAATCACAAAGTAAGGCACCATTGGATTAAACACTTTTCTCAGCTTTTACTAAATAAAATGCATAGTGAAATAAATACTGAACACTGAATTTTAATACTGTAATACATTTCCATATAAAATGATATGTGAATGTTAAAATACTGTATTGCCTCTTGAATACATTTACCTGGAAATTTTATGGAAAAAAAAGCGCATGTAAGCTCTGATTTCAGGGAAGAAAATTATTCATTTTTGTGGTTTACCATAGTTAAAAATATTAGCATAGAACTTACTCAAAGTTTTGGATGCAATTAGGTTGCTAACTTTCAAAGCAAGAGTGTAAGTGTATTAATGAAACATTCACTTAAAAAACACATTCTAAAATATCTCTATCCTGGGTGAGTAGCAACTGTGAGTTGTGATCCTGTTTCACACTTTAGGACAGTACCTGCAGAGTTGGGGTGTATAAGAAAATTGGTCATTCTTTCTACCCCTTATAAAATTTAGACCCACCTTCTATGGGTCAGATATTTCTTTGTCTTATTTGCTATAGCAAGGCCTCTTTTCTGGAGTGGGTCATTAGACTTTCTTAAAGGAATTTTAATCAGCTGTTGATTAAAGAATGCTATCTGACTAAAGAATCCAGAATAAAATGATGCTGCTGCTATATTACCAAAATATGAGCAATAAAATTTTTTTTGAAAATACTCTGTCAAGGCTGTTACACCTTTATATTTCTTGATTCTTTGGGTAAAGGACCCCAAGCCTGAAAGACAAATGAATGGCAGAGGATGGGGGAAACCCCAAGATCTCTAACGTGCTAAGCCCAGGACTTTGGCAAAACAAGTTATAAAAATACAATATATTCAAACGGGTAACATCATAATTTATTAGACATCCCACTTACTAGAGCTCTAAGTTCTTTTGCTTTTATATAAATGAAACAATTATTTCTTTTATAAATAGGAATGTTTCTTTCAAAATTTTCTTTGGATAGATTTCTAGTTAGCATATCCCAGTAATACATGAACAATACGCTGAAACCATGATACAAAGTTTAGGTAGATATACATATATGTGTGTGGCCATATGGTTTTAAAAAAATAAGTAATGGTAATTTCAAACATAACTGTATAACATATCTAAATGGAAATTTTTTTTTTCCCAATTCCATAGCTAGATTTAAAAGTCCCAGTAAAGTCTGTAAACAAAATCATACAAAAAAAGGCAAGGCTGGCTCCTCCCTGGATGGTCCATTTGGGAGATTTATTTGCATAGATCCAAGGCAAATGATTCATTCTCCTGGACAGTTTCAAATTCCCTCCAATTCCAGTAGCAGTCTCTTTCTTTCAACCTCATAAGCATCAGATTTAGATTTTTACAGTTTTGTCCCTCAACCCAAATCTGGCCCCTTTTTCTAAGTTTCTGATTTGCTACCTTTCCCTGACTTCCCCCCTACTACTGAGCTTCCCGACCCTGAGGAGCAAGCTGGGAGGTGGCCTCCAGCGTGCAAGGCAGAAGAGCAGCTGACAGGTGAGCTCCAGATGGCTGGTCCTGAGCCCGGAGGCCCCAACAGGCTTTCAATTTCTTTCCAATGGCTTTATTCCACATGACTGTAAACCCTATTATAGCAACTTCTGATCTTGGTGTTCTGAAGCAACACTTGTACATAGATTATTAAGGGAAGAGGGAAAAGAAGGGACAAAATCTTAAGGTCAAGCTGTCTGCCAGACAAGGTGTTGGGTCCTAACTTTATTCTTATTTACCTCTTGAATTGTTAAAGCGCATCTTTCTTTCTTTCTTTTTTTTTTAAACAAGAGATTTTGCGCTATCCTCTGTCTTCTAGACCCGCACTGTCCAGTATGGTAGTCGCCAGCCGCATGTGGCCATTAAGCCCTTGAAGTGTGACTAGTATAAAAAGAGATGTGCTTTAAGTGCAAAACACAAGACCAGATTTTGAAAACTTAGTACCAGATAAAAAATAATGTAAAATACCTCATTAATAATGATTTTAATTGCAGGTCAGATGGTATTTTGGATAAAATATATTAAAATTAATTTCACCTAATTCTTTTTCTTTTTTAATGTAGCTACTAGACCTATTTAAATGTATATGTGGCTCACACGATATTTTTATTGGGCAGCTCTATCCTAGAGCCTACCTCAGACTGCCAGAGATTACAATCTATAACCACAAAAATTTCATGTGAGCCCTTGCTCAGCAACTTGCTTAGATGGTCCGTGGTTCATGGAAACAGACAGGAGGCCAAGCATGCAAAAAAGGCATGGCAGCAAGCCGCTCTCAGGGACTTCAAAGTTATCTGTCGCAAAGTTACAGTGAATGTCTGAATTGGGTTGGTTGAAACCTGGGACAAATCCATCTCTGTCTACTGCCATAAAAGCCAATCGACCCCTAAGCAGTCCACACTGTTGGGCTGTAGCTGAAGCAAGCAATAGCTTTGAGAATATACATAGAATAAAAATCTAGGTGCATTTCTTTATCAGATTCCCACCCCTCACACACGTATTCCCACATTACCCTCCCTTCTTCCCTATTCCTTATATGGAGGGAACAAGGGGAGGAGGGGGTGCAACTCTTGATAGCAACAACAGAAGTCTGGGGCTCGGCGGAGAAGAGCAGGCCAAGATCACCTCGGGATGGGAGGAAGGGGTGGGGCACCCCTTTCTCTTCGGTTGGATCCACCTTGATGAAAAAAATAGACAAAATGTAAATTTTTGGTTAAAAAGCTTATGTTCTCACTGTAGAAACTCAAAGATGTTTGCAAAGGTATACACAGCCCTAACCCTATGACTGGCACACGTGGATGAGAAGTGAGAAGTGAAGGGAGGAAGCAAGTAAGGATCTGAACGAGTATTATTAGAGGATGATCTACCACTGGCTACTGGGTACTTGCATCAAGTTAAAAAAGTAAAAAAAAAAAAAAAAATGCTTTTCTTATTATCACAAACATAGTATGTGTTTATTATAGGTTTAGAAAAAAATAGATGAGTGAAAACAAAACAAAAAATTCACCCACGCTTGTACCACCCAGAGATAACCAGAAAATGTTTGTGAATTTTCTATACATATAAACAGTTCCCTTTTTTCTTCCAAAAATTGGATGATATATAGTCATTTTGAACATCTTTCAAAGTCATTACCCTTTACACATATAATTATTAATGACACACTGCATTCTATTATAGAGGTATACTATAGTTTTTCATCGAATCCCCTTTTATTGGGCATTTAGGCATCTTCTAATTTCTAACCAATGTGTTTTTTACAGCAGAAATCCTAATAGGTGTGAAGTGATACTCTGTTGTAGTTTTATTTGTATTTCCCTAATGATTAGTGATGTTGAACATCTTTTCATGTGTTTATTGACCATCTGTAGATCTTCTTCAGAGAAATGTCTATTCAAGTATTCAACCCATTTTAAAAATTGGGTTGTTTGTTTTTTGTTGTTGAATTGTAGGAATTCTTTATACATTCTGCATGTTAATTCTTTATCATCTATATGATTTGCAAATATTTTATCACATTTCAGGGGTTCCCTTTTCATTCTGTTGGTAGTGTTCTTCTAAAAACTATGCTTACTTGTGAGCCATCCAGGTTTAAAATCCATTCACAATTTTTCAAATTCATTTGTCCCCCACACCCTTTTCTGAGGATTTTACCATCGTTAGGCATAGGGGTGGGCGGTCAGGTGTATAAACAGGTCTACCAGGGACACGTGTCAACAGAATATGTCTGCTATGGCCACTGCTCTGAGACCCAGGGGGCTGGCATCAAGAGATTCCGCAGCAGGCACCTTGACAGCAACCCCAGCAACTCACTCAGGGGTTCCTGAGATAGAAGCAAATCTCTGAGCATGGAGAGGGGTCAGAGGAAGACACTGACATTCCATCACCTTGCCTGTTCCTCTTCCCGTCCCAACCAAGCCTTTCCTTGGGCAGGCATCTGAGGAAAGGCTCATCTGGGTATAACCCAGCCATTTGTCATGGGGCCTTCACCAGCAACTGCCATACCACTAGTGGTTAGCAAACAAGGGCTGGCCTTGTGCAAAGATTTAATTAGGAGGCACTGCTCAGGGCTGCCTCGGTGCCCTACCACGCTGTGCGTCTGAGGCCAAGGTAGCTACAGGAGTGGAATAAAACCATTTCTTCATACTTTGTGTATTTTTTAGGGAGATTATGCATTATCAGTATAAAATGTTAAAATGCACAATGCTGGAACTTTAAAGGAAATCTAAAGAAAGTTTTTTGGGAGCAGTGGAAATTAATTCACTAATTTAAGAAATAGTTTTAAGTGTCTACAATGTTTCAGGCTCTGGGCCACTCGAGGAAGATGCAATAGTGAGCAGCACGTAGTTCCATTCTCTGAGCTTCATAACGTCTTAAAAGACAGGAGCGTCGGGGAGGGAACATGCTCAGCTATTCAATTAAAAATCTAGAGGGGTTGGGGAAGATGGTTCTGCTACTGACATACACACACATATACATACATTCATACACACAGGGGTGGGCAAAAGATAGTGCACTGTACCATTGTGACATCCTTTTGAGTTAATAAAGCTATTATAATAATTATAACCTGCATGTCTTTTTCCATACAAAGAACTGTAAACTCACTTTTGCCCACCCCTATAGATACATACATATATATAATATTTACAGATTAAGAATGCTTATAAGAGTTCAGTAAAACATATTTAGAATCCTTAAAGGGAAGAAAAACAGACTGTGCTCTGATCAGCCAGAAGCCCCTCTTATGACATAAACACACGCACTCTACACACACTACAAATACACACACAAACACACAGGACTCAAAGTTATTTGCCCCACGTGAAGGCGACCACCAACTCCTGTAATGATAGTTTTCATTATAGTTATCCTTTTTTTTATTAGGCATTGTCTAGGAATATATTATTTCACATAAATGAGTTTTCCCAGGAATTAAACTTCTTTCTTTTTTAAAAATTCTATTTATTTCTTTTTTAGAAAGAGGGGAAGGGAGGGAGAAAGAGCGGGAGAGAAACATTGATGTGCGGGAGATACGTTGATCGGTGGCCTCTCACACGCTCCCAACTGGGGACCTGGCCCACAACCCAGGCATGTGCCCTGACTGGGAATCAAACCAGCAACCTCTTGGTTCACAGGCTGGTGCTCAATCCACTCAGCTACACTAGCCAGGACTAAACTTCTCTTAAGTAGCAATATTCCATTTACTTCTCTTACTTGTTCATGGAAATTTTCCTAAAATATTTTCTAATTCTTTGAATTCTTTAACAGAGGCACAAAGCACAATTTGACCTGTCCTTAATAAGCTGTCCTGTGCTGGGACATAGCACAACTCGGTGTCCCCATCTCCTCTGTCACCTACCACTTCTCCCTGAAGGCAGTAACTGCTTCTAACCAACCTCAAGTTCAGCTGATACTGATCTGCTCTAAGGTTGGGAACAAATTAAAAATTAAGAACTGTGTGCTAAGAAAGTCAGTAGGCTCTGAGTATGTGTATGGAGCTCTACCAGGGAGTGAGGACAAGGCTGGGGACATAGAAACAGTTATTTGACATGCTCAACCACTTTCTCCACACATTTCTGCTTTGGGAGTTTGTTTCTGATGCTAAAGCTGTTACAAGTTATCAGTGACATATGTATATTTCATGATAATTCTTTCTCAGTTCTATACATTTATTGTTGTAAAATATTAGCTTTTCCAATTCCTCTTCTTGTTCACATTCTTTTCCACTAATGGAAAAGTGACTCACCTCTTAAGGTACCTTAGCATTACATATATTAGTAAAAAACAAAACAAAAAAACCAAAAAAACAAAGAACCCCACAAAAACCAGAAACCACCGAAGTGTCCAATAATGATTGTAAACTAAGTTATTAAATGCTGATTTGACAGAAACTTGTATCATAAAAACCATGTGATAAAATAGGGAAGTATTTACTAAGCAGTGTTATATAAACCTCACCACCAAAATACTATACTCTATAATTATAACCATATAAATTAACCAGAATTCAATGGATAAAAATTAGACAAGAACATGATAAAATATCTGTTATGTGGAGAGTTTATGGGTCCACTTAAAATGTTCGTGTAATGCTCTGTAAAGCTATAATTATAATATATTTAAAAGATCAAGGCAGTTACAGTAAGTTTTTGTTATAATTAAATAAGACATTTGCCAGTCTCAAAACTGACAGGAATAGAAGATCAAAATGGGGGAAGATTTTCTAAACAAGCAAAATGATAAAATTTAATCTACTAGCAACCTAAAAGTATTTTGGGCTTACAATGATACATTAAAATAACCATTTCTCATATGCAGTCTGGGTTACCTCGCTTTTCTTCAGTGTCTGCAGAAGGGGAGTTTACTGGAATTTAGATGGCTTCAAATCTGGATGTGACTTCTCTGAAGTCTCCCCACTCCAGGCAAGAGGCCTGGATTTCCTATGCACCCCTCAGTTGTATATAACCCAGGCTATTCAGGTAGGAATCTGCCAAAAGCCCTTGCAGAAATACTTACTCCGGCTTTCATTTCTCGCCAATTTACTAGGGTAAGTTTTGGTGGTTGGCACATACGGCTCTGGAGGTGGCAAATCAGAAATCGGATGGAAGTAGAATCTGCTTTCCCACTCATCTGAGGGAGAGACAAACAGTATCTTCAGTAACAGACAATCTGCTATGAAGAGATGTAATGAAAGGCATATCATGAAATAGAACTAAAGAGATCACTTCTAGTTTTATGTCTAGAAGTTTAGGAAAAAGCTGGAAGTGCTAGATGTGTCACTGATATTGCATATCAATAAAATATCCTGGTCTTCCGATCAAACCAAAGCCAGAGCCAAGTGATTTTAATAGAGTGACCAGGACCTAGCCAGTCTCTCTTCAGAGCTGGGGGCTAAGTCTTGGGACAACTTTCTTAGTTATTTCTCCCACGAGTGGAAGGAATGCTTGGGACCCTCCGATACAGAGGCAGAGGTAAGCTGCTTAATTTGCAGGCCGCTGGGCCTCTTACCTAGAGCAAACTGTTTAGAAAGATAGGTAATGAAGCAAGCTATAAAAATGGTTCTTTTCAGAATTCTGGCATCTCTAGAAACCAAAATGAGACTCAAGGAACAAAGAAACAATCTGCCTTTTGGAAAAGTGGAGGCGGGGGGCGTTGCTATCTTTAATTTGAAATCATGGTGAGCCCTAAAATGGTTATATCAGCGATTTTCACCCAGTGTGCTGCAAGAATTTTTAAAACATGCAGTATCTGACTACTTGGTCAGGGGCACCAACCTCTTTTCCCTTAGATTGTCAAAAAAATGACAACGGCCAACACAGCAATAGCCATCCAGTGTGAATGAATCAGAATTAAACCTATTTTTTTTTCAGATTGGCCAAAAATATATGTTTTGGTGTGCTGCAGAATTTTAGCGATTAGTTTGTATGCGCCATGAAACGAAAAAGGTTGAAAATCACTGCATTAAGTTAGAGCAGTGCAGCATGATAACAAGGAGGGTCTTGCAAACAAGAAATGTATGTAAACACAAACAAATTTCTCATTCAGCCGCTGCCCTATAGCTTGTATGTTCTGAGGAGCTGGGACCACACCTCACCTTCGCCTGAAGAGTCTTGGAAGCCGTTTCTAATTGACGTTGACGGTGGGGGTGGCGGAGGGGCCCCAGCGCCAGGCCTGTCTGGGGGAAGGGGAGGCCGGGGCCCAGCCCTCGGACTGTCTCCTCCCACCCTGGACGGCAGCTGCGGGGTGGCAGGCAGGGCGCGGGACGTGCTGCCATTTCTGTTTATCGGAGGCGGCGGTGGGAGAGGGCCTGGAGCAAAAGAAAAGGCAACAATTTAGGACAATACCTTACCGTGGCCATAACCAAAGTGCAATTACTGGGTGCCTGACGGGTACATGCCCTTTTACTGGAGAACAGGGGGAAGTGGAGACTGCCTAGGAGATTCAGCCAAAAAAGGAGCAGGCACACCTAAACTCAGAAATGCACGTATGTGTACATGATGTGAAATGAGTGCATGTGGAGAGCTGAATGGCTGTTTTGGCGTTAGTTGGTATTAAGATTGGAGATGATACAGTTAAATTGAGAACAGGTGATAATCTGTTCATACTGACAACCCATATCCACACTTAAAAATACATTTTAATATCCTTTTAAACAGCTATTGAACTGATTACTGTGGCATGATACTTATTGAATAAATGCTGTTTTATGCAAGAATTTCTGAAAGGACAGTTATGAAGTTATTTTAGATCCTCAGAGGGATTAAGTTCTTTAAATTCACAGTATTATTTCTAATTCCACAGACATGTTTCTGTGATGCACACAATCTGTTTCCAGGCAGAAGTGGGATCAGGAAACTCAATGTTAGTCATCCTGAGAACAGTAGAAGTTCCTCCTTGGTTCTTCCTCTTTTGGGAGGCAGATTGACACAGGGAGTGACAAATAGCTAATCAATGTGCACGGTTATAAATGCTGGTGCAGGATCCTGACCCAGAGCAGGCTGCTTACCCCGTGGAGGTGGATTTCCTGTCTACAAAGAGCACCAAATAGTCACCTTTCTCACAGCACTGTGGCCAGGAATACTTAGTCAAAGGCAGATAAAAAGGGCTACATAATATTTGAAACCACTTCTTTAAAAATGCAGTAGTATGGTATAATCAGAAATTTTTAAGTTCCTAAAAAATAATTCAAAGTAAATTCTTTTTGGTAACACACAGGAACTTATCTTGCTTTTCCCATTCTCCAAATGCAGAGGCTATTTGGATCATGATTAAATTAAAAAAAGAAAGAAAGAAAGAGGAAGTTAAGCATTTTTGCATGTAAACCAAAATGGCTTTAGTAATTATTCCTGATCTTTAGCAGTGTACTTCACTTGCCAGAGGCTGACATTTTATGTAACACAATGCCTTGAATTGCTCTAAATACAATCTGTTGTTCACTGCATATTCAGAATCCAACTAGAGGACCTCAAGGGGAAGGACTTGCCCATCACAGATAGCCGGGCCTGGAAGTCATGGCTCAGACACTCGATGAAGGCAGGAGGCACGCCCTGCCCTGGTTGGTCTCTCAAGGTGTCTCGGTACCTCATCTGGCAGGGTTTATTTATTGCCCCATCTGCTGGTCATGGCTGGAGTCCCAGTCAGTAGGAGTCGGTTTATTACAGAAATGAGTGTCTCTCATGCTGCGAATTTAACCTTACTGGTACTACCACCACAGAACTGTCACCCAATGTCAACTAGACTTCCAGTACTATTGGGCCTGGTACTACGTAACTTGATCGACTTGATCTTTCTCTCTTTGAATGGATGCTCATGTTCCTCCTCCAACCTTTCAGCCCCCTGCTCCAAGCCTAGGCAAGCATAATAGTAAACATTTCTATTTCCCATTGGCAGAATAATAAAAGTGGTCATTTATGTTGGGAAATAAGATAACCACTATATACCCTTAATTCATTTGATTTTTACAACAGACTTGAAAGGTGTAGAGGCAGCAGAAGAAATCCCAGAGGTGTTGGGAAGTTAAAAAGACCAAGTCAGGAAGCTAATGAGGGGTAGAACCAGGATTTGGTACAAATCTGTCAAATTCGAAAGCCCATTCTCCTAACTATGAAGCTAAGCCATCTCTCAAAATCCAGGTGGCCCTAGATGACCTGTCACATGTTCCTTGTGGGGATGTAAATTGGTAGGAATTTTCTAGAGGCCAATTTGCCAGTACCTATAAATCCATGGCTTACTGCGCATACCTATGACCTAGAAATTCCATTTCTAGGGATTCATCCAAAGGAAATACATAAGAGAAATGCATAAATACTTGACTACAAGAATGTATTCCTGCATTATCAGCAACAACAAAAATCTGGAGATGGCCTATATGGCCAAGTGAGGAATTAAGTAACCAAGGTATTTTGTAGGAGTTAATATTAGGCAGTCATTAAAAGGCAGGTTGTATCATATCAGAAAATGTTAACAAGATATTGTTAAATAAAAAGCAAATTGCCAACCAATATATGTAGTGGGATACTAATTTTGTGAACATGTATATATGTGCACTTTAGAAAGCCTGAAAAAATATATAAAAAATGTTATCAATGATCACTTCTGGATGATGGTGATGGCAGGATTATAGATGACATTTATTTTCTTTCTACTTTTCTGCACTTCTGTAACAAACAGGTATGACATATAATCAAAAGGAACAATAACATGTTATAATTAGGCCACTGCCTATTCTATTTTCGGGAAGATTTAACCTGTTGATTCCTCTATTTAGTAGAGCCATGCAAACAGCTCCTCAACCACTTTAGGGGCAAATCCATAGCTTTTAGATACAAAGAAAACATTGCATTTCATTCATCTGACTACTTGTTCTTGTTAATTCACTGAAGAATACTTAACGAGATGGCACATGCTAGGGACTGGATTGAATGGATTAGTAACTTTTTATATTTGTAGCCTATTCTCCATGGCAGGACAGTTTGAAGGAGTGTTTCCCTAACTTGTCTGCACATTATAATCACTGGGATATTACAACCCCAATATCCTGATGCCCCATCTAAAACTCAGACCAAAAAAACCAGAAACCCTGAAGAAGGGACCATCGTGGGTTTTAAAGCTCCACAGTGACTCCAGCATGGGGTCAAGTTTGAGGACTACTGGTTTAAAGAGTGGTGTTTATTAAGTTCCTGAGGTCACAGGGTCAAAGGTCAGTTAACTTCACAGGAAGAAAAAAATGCCCCATTTCCAAACATTTTGTATGCATAAGGTTAAAATTTAAAAGTAGTTTAGTTTCTCTGACTCCATCAATAACCATCAACAATTAGCAGAGAGTACAAACCCAGGGGAATCCGCACATTTCATACTCTGAAAGTAATTACTCCCTCCCGCTCAGGTTTCTCAACCCTCGGCAGAGGCCACAGATATGCTTCGGCAGGTCCTTTTACGCATGAAAAGCACTCATATTTCCAGTTTATACTTATGAGCGTTTTTCTGAAGAGAAGCCTATTCCTTTATCTGATTCTCCAAGGGATCTCTGTGTCAGAGCTGTTAGCAAACAGCCAAACAGATGCTAACATTCGTCTTTAATAGGCAGGGAAATGGCCTGAGAGCTTGCCAGGTAAAGAGAGACATGCAAGAGCAGCTCATTTGCTCTTAAATAACTGCCCTTCTTGTTGGAATGATGGGGCCCTCCTACAGGAGATGGGAATTTATTTCCCCAATGAAGACATCTGAAATCACTTGAGGGAGGCAGGGTTGTAAAATGGTGAGATGGGTGATGAAAATTCTAGCCTCTTCTCTGTTAACTAGTTTGTGATCATTTAACTTCATTGGTTACATGGTCTCCTCATCTCCAGGACAGACAGAAATATCAGTCCCACTTTCCTCCGAGTTTTACATGAGGTCAAGATGACATCATGTAGTGTTAAGTGTCACCTAACAGATGAAAGCAGTTTGAGGGTTCACTCAAGCTTTCTGTTGGACTCTGTGCATGATCATTAGTGACACCGGGGCAGGCTGGGTTTCAGGGAGACAACTCGGCCCATGTCTTGCCATACCTGATCTGCCCGGCGGGTCCCTCACCGGAGGAGGGGGTCTCTCACTGGGCGGGGGAGGAAGAGGGCCTGAACGTCCAGGTGAAGGTAAGGGAGGCGCCGATGAAGAGAGCGACACATTCCGCTGCGGGAGCCTTGGGATTTCATCGCCGCCACTGGAACCTGGAGGCAGGTGGGGAGGCCCAGGCCTGCTGGGGGGTGGCGGTGGAGGCGGGGCCTGTGACAGGGAGGAAGGCCGCAGCGTGGAAGGCACCGGGGGCTTGCTGTTCTGGGGGGGCGGAGGTGGGACAGCTTCCCTGTGGATGGAGGGCCTGTTGCCCATTGGAGGAGGCGGAGGAGGGGGTTTGTCATCCAAGGCCCTGCCCGGGGTAGGGGGCAGGGGAGGCCTGTTGGAAGAGGAGGCTGAGGGGGTTTGACGGACGGAGCCTCCTCCAAAAGCAGCACCTCGGTTTCCAGAGAAAGGGGGAGGAGTCGGCCCAGGGCCAGGCTGCCTGGGGGCCCCAGGCACCGGCGGGGACCCCCGGTTGTGCAGACTTGACTGAATGGGTCTTGGCGTATTCGGTACTGGAGGGGGCACGCTATCAGGCTTCGAGCCCACGTCGGGCCTGGGGGGAGGCATTCGGTTCCTCTGGGGCTCTGGGGGTCCGCCTCTCTGGCCTGGAGAAGGCACAGGGAACCTCCCTGGGCCACTTGGGGGTGAGAAAGGTTTGGCAGATGTGGCTCTTCCTCCTGGTGGCAAAATCGGAGGTCGGCTTCCTCCAGAATCTGAAGAACAGGGAGGAAAAATTCAGTTCAAAAATTAGGAACCTTAGAAGAAACCAGGGAACTAGAGTATATTCCCAGCTACTGGAAGTCCTTTCCTAGGTGCTATAAAACATAGGTAAGTAGTATTTATTTAAATCAGGTTTTGTGTGGTCTTTCCTGAAGAGGAACAGACCACCATCCCTGTCCCCTTGCCCTTGTGCCTCTCAGGCCTAAAAAAACAACAGCCATTTAGGGTGAAGAGATTCATTGTCTAGCATAAGTCTTCATATAGGAGGGGTTACCTAGTCTCTTTGAAGAGAAATTCCCAAGAGAAGGTCGAAAAGTATAATGGGAGAGTTAGGATTGAAATAAGAAGAGAGAGAGAAAAAAAAAAACCTGTCCAAGTTTAATTGAAAGAGTCAATACCAGTGGATGGTCTTAATCTGCAAAGAAGTAAACGACTACACTTTAGGCAAAGGACCAGCAGGTGCACAGGACCTGACGTGGGAATGAGCTTCAGATGAAGAAAACAAAACCCGAGGCCTGTGTGCGTGGGGCCCAGTGAGCATGAGCATCCTGGGAAACGCAGCCTGGGGCGCCGCCAGGGGCCTGGTCCCAAGGGGCCCTGCAGGCCAGAAGGAGTTCAGATTTTATCCAAGGCACAATGACAGACACTTGGATGGATTTATACATTAGAGTAATGTGAACTCTAGAATTTTTTTTACTTTAGTATTAGAAAAAAGATGTTTTGTCCTTGACTGTTTGGTATATTTTTGTTTCCCCAACTTGTAGTAAGTTACATTTTCCAAGTTCAGGTTAAAACTGCAGTTACTACATTACATGGATGGGATCCACTATGTGGATAATATACTGTGAACACAAATACTTCTGGTATACCATTTTATGCACCAACTTAAATTTCATCTTCATTATTTTACTTCCAGTTGCCTTTTGCCTTAATTTCTTCACTTTTTATTCAAGTACTAAACATGTGCATTTGTCAGCTACCTCAAATCCTTTTGGCAGATTTTAAATAAATAAATTTAAATTTAAATGCAGGTCTAGCAAGATAGAATCTCTCATGTAATTGGGTCTCTTTCTAGATTTTGACCATTCAGTGCTAAATAGTCAGCTAAGCCAGAGGATTCAGTGCCTTTATTTTCATATCGATGTGAGAATTTCATACTTTTCCTAGTGGACATCTTAAAAGACCACAGAATTAGAAATAAAGTTCTTCTAACAATAAACATGAAAAAAAGAAAATTCTATGGACAATCTCTTGAGCTTCTGCGGTAGTCTGGAGAGCGCCTCATGCCCTGTGTGGTTTCTTATTTAGGCACTACCCGGTTGAATTTTCCTCTGCCGGCAGGCTCACAGGCTGCCTGTGGGGCTAGTTTCCTGGGCTCCCTGCAGAGAAGACTCAGAATCACAGGCCCCAAAATGCCAAATGTCTATCATGCAAAACACCTTTTTAGATTTCGTGAGATAGGTAATTATATTCCATATGACAGGCTCCACAGTCTGCGTGAAAAGCAGCTCACAAGTATGTACTAAACTAGACAGCTGGGTCAGGCTACCTCACAAAGAAAGCTGAATTTGCCAGGTCACCAGGCAGAGTTTCTAGGGGTGGCAAGTTCCATTTGTTTCTTTTCTTCCCACTCTAGCTCACCCTTTAGAAAAGTACAAAAAAATCCAAGGACACTGGACAAATATATAACAGCTCAATGGAGCTGCATGATACTGATTCAACTTTTAAAAGATGCTAAATAGAGTCTCTCTTATAAAAATGTTAACAATTTTGAACATTCTAAAATGTTCTAAAGGACAGTGTCTAAGAGGGGATGCCAAGCCCCCAAACCACGAAACTCTGGTCTTCAGTGACTGAGAGAGAAGGAAACTCTCCTTACCATTATCCCTGTTGGCCGTGGATCTCAGCTTCGGCATCCCAGCCTGGAACAGTCCTCCCAAACCGGGTGGTCCACCTCCTCCAAAGCTGCCGCCACCACCGCCGCCACCACCTCCACCTCCGCTGCCACCCCCTCCGCCAAATCCGCCACCTCCACCAAAGCCACCACCGCCACCAGCACTGGCTCCCTTAGGTTCTGCAGAGGAAGAAAACACAGTCTTTACACAGGTTTGAAAACACCACAAGCATACTTCACCAGTCCTAGCCCAAGTAAACAATAATGATAAAACCTGGACCTATGCTAGACAACTGGAAGTTTATTAGCATGCAGGGTAGTAAGGATTCACCCACTCTAGCAGGGAAGGAGGGGATCCTTTCCTCTCTCTGGGCAGCCATAGGCCCAGTGGTAGAAGAAGCGATGATAGGTGGTGAGTGGCTGCCGGACCCCCACTTGGCTGGCTGCCATGTGAGCTAATACCGACGTGTAAATGTAGGGATCTTCGAACAAAGTCTCAAGGGGCCAGGGGGCGGCGGGGGGCAGGGGGGTATGCGGTAAAAAGTGAGAAGAAAGGAAATAGTAAAAATTAAAAAAATAAAAGATCTCATAATTTTACTCCTTGGAACACTGTTTAGTGTATTTTTCCCCCTGCCAGTATCTTTTCATCTTTATACATTTTTTTTTCCCTTAAAATTAAGACCAAAAATCACTGGACAGTTTTTAGCCTGCTTTTTTTTTTTTTCACTTAACACTTTATTGTTAGTATTTCCCATGTCATTAAATATTCTTTAAAAACATGAGTTTAAAGGACTGCATTGTGTTTTAGAACAGAAACGTACTGTAATTTATTTAACCATCTACTTATTTGGTGGTCTTTTAGGTTGATTTTAATTTTTAATATCATTAAACATAACAGTAGGTTTTTACATTTTAAAAATTCTTTGCAATTTGGGACAGTGCCAAGGTTTTGTTTTACTTTGCATTTATTTCCAAAATATTGTGAAAGCTTTTGAAATGGGCAATGAAAGGAAGAAGGAAAAGATTACTAAGTCTAACCTTCTGTATTATTTCCCATTGCCTTTGCACTATTTTACCACTCTGTAAATTTTAGAAAAATGATAATAATACAAATGATAATTGTCCATAGAAATGCAAATGGGTTGTGTTCAGTAGAATGCAACTGATAGTGACCCATTTAGCACCTATTTATATAAATTCACTTCAAACCTTATCTGCCTGTATGTGTGTGGTACTTTGAATTCTCTTTTGAACAGCAAACATCATTTTCATTAATAAACAAAATGTTTGATATATATTCATTTTATATCTGCATGACAGCCATGGTTTTATGCCCTCTTCAAAAAATTCTCACGTGTGCATGTTTTATGAGGTTACGCATTGTTTAAAGTTCTACCCCTAGAAAACCTTGAGGAGTCTTTGATGAGTGTTACGTGAGATCTACAAATTAATCCAGGGGACCTGGCACTTTATTATAATATTTAGACTTCATGGAAACATGGTTTATTTTCCATGTCTTCTGATTTAAGTAAAGTTTTGTAATTTTTTTTTACAAAGGATCACATAGGCCTTTTGTTAGGGTTATTTCAAATATATTCTTGTTTGTTAAAATCATGAAAAGAGTGTTTTTTTCTATTAAATTTTGTTATTGGTTATTATTGGCATGAGGAAATTTCATTTGATATCTAATAAATCACTTTGCTGTCTTTTAAGTTAAAATTTACAAAAAAATTTATTATCTTGGATTTTCTAGTAGACATATGATTTTCAAATAATAAAGGTTTTTGCCTCCTCTTTTTAAATAGTTGTGTGTCTTATTTCTGTTTCATATAAGTAATAACTTTCATGACTTCCATAATAATGTAAATTATTAATATTGCTAAAGGAAAACATTTTGATTTTAATGAGAGTTCCTCTGATGTCTCAAAGTTATATGGTTTTTCTTTTTTGCTAAGATGAATTTATAGACTTTCTAACACTACAAATGAGATAAATCCTGGTCTTGGTGAATTATTTTTTAAATATCCATATTGAATTAGATTTTTTTAATTTTTAGTTAGTGCCTTCTCATCGATCATCATAAGTCATCCATCTATTGTAGGGTTTCTAACCCTTGGAACAACTGACATTTGGGGTCAGGTAATTCTTTCTTGTGGGTGGCTGTCTTGTTCTTTGTAGAATATTTACAGCACCGCTGACCTCTACCCACTAGGTATCAGTGGGAACCCCAGCTCATCAATTTACGACAACTAAAAATGCCTCCCGACATTGCCACAGGCCCCTGGAGACGCTGATACATAAGCTTCCTTTTTGTGTATATGTTGCTTTTGTCAAACTGAGATAATAGGGTTTTGCCCATCTCATTGCACCTATCAGGTAGCGTTCATCCTCTTCCTATGTTTGGGAATTTATATAGCATTTGAATTAGCTACTTCTTATAATCTGAAAGAATTCACTGATATAATCATCTGCCTCTGAAGTTTTTTGGAGGGAAAGTAATATGATAAGTTTTATAACTTTTTCTTTGCTGATAGAGGCTTCATGAGTGAATATTGGTAAATTTATGCTTTTCTTGGAAAATTAATTTAAGATTTCAAAAAGATTTTGCACCTAACTTCATTGTAGCATCCTTAATTTTAAAAAATCTTTGAATCTCTTAGTTTATCTGCTTCTTGAGTTCTAATTTTATTCATGTGTTATCTTTTTTCTGGATTATATTTATCATGTCATTGCTAGCTCTGTATCTTCTAGGTATAGAGCTTTTAGGATGCTTATGGGAACCCTGCTGATAGTAGGAATTTGGAATTTTTGCTGATTTTAATTATTGTCAGGAATTCATTGATGAATGATATATTTTGGAATACTGAATTTCCATTGGACACCTTTAAATGGTATTGAACATTCCAAGTGATCAATGTACTATCAGCACCCATGAGTGTTATCAGTAGAGAAGCTAAAGCAGTTATAGATAGCTAACTCGCACAAGTCACTCAGTCATCAAATTGTAGGACAAGGCTGACTTTTAAGAGTTCTGTCATGGCTAACCGCAGTCAACATTTTGATAAGGAGCCCAGGGAGGTTTCACCTGCAAACAAATACATAACCATAGATGGACTTTGTCACTTGCAAAGAGCTTATAACAGCAGTCTTGGTGTCCAACTACTTGCATGGATAATGAAAGACATGCATTCAGTTGCATTTTGTGTCCATCAAGCAAAGTGAGTGGTTGGAAGAGAGAAGAAATAACATTTCCATTTAATGGGAAAAGTGGATCTTGAAGAATATACTGAGTTTTCACTAGTGGCTTCAGGACTAGGCCCCAGACTGCCCAGCCCCCTTTCACATCTGGGGAACTCACATCCACCCCTCCGGAGCCGAGCCTCCTGCTCGTGGTGGAGACAGCCACTGGGCTCCTTCCTAGAGGGTGGCTACTTGTGTTGTTCCTCTGGCCCCACACTAGGCATTATGACTTAGGAGTTGGATCAAGGCTGCCCTTATATAAGTGACTGTGATGGTCTTCCCCTTGGGAGAATCTTCTGACATGGATCAGGAGGACTAAGAGACTGATACATTAACCACGTCAGTTTTGATCTAAAGTTAAAACTATCAAGAGTGAAAGACCCCATAGTTCCTTTTTGAGGTGTAGTGCATTCTCATTTGCACCACGTTGCCTGGTAACAGAACAACATTCAAAGGTCTTTGTCTTGGTCTTACTCTTTTCCAGTTACCCCTGACACCAATGTTCTCATCTAACTCTGGTCTTTCTCCTTCTCTTATTGGGCACTTTTCCTGGAAATTCCTCCTAAGCCTCTCTTATCCTCCACTTGATCAAAATCTTACAGTATTCATTTGTCTATTTTCTATTGAGTCCAAATGGGATCTGGATGAATTCCGGAGACACCTGGCTAGCAGTGGAATGTGAGGAGAGAGTCTTGAGGGCTCATTACTCTCAGTAGATTCTAGTCATGTATATATTTTTTCCGTTGCAAATATTAATAAGTAACCCTGTGGTGGGTAATTGTTGGTTAATACATGCCCTGCCTTGTTCCAAAGAGTATCTCAGACTTATGATGGGTAGATAAGCAAAGTTGTGATTTCTTTTCCTCTTTCTTCAAGCTTCTAATAATCGTATCTTACACTTGAATTTCACCTTGCAGATAACAAAACACTTTACAAGCATTATGTCATTTGATGCTCACAATGAACTTGTGGGGACAGTAGAAGAGTATTATCTACACTTTACAAGAACAATAGGCTTGGAGATAGTAAGTGACAGATGTGCCAGGATTTGAACCCACATCCTTTGATTCCAAGTCTAGGGCTCTGTCCTGATTTCATGCTGCCTTTTGATTTGTGGTGCAAGGAGCAAAGGGTTAATTTCCAGAAAGTGTTTCAATAATTTAGAGAATCGCTGCTGTGTGTGACTTAGACAAAGAATTATTATACTGGCTTCCTGCAGCATTAGAGAGAACCCAGGCTGAAGCCTTGGCCTATAATGAGTGAGACAGTCCCTTATTCTGTTAGCTTTGCAGCTGTTGTTGACCAAGAAAAAGGCAGGGTGGATTGTTAGGCCATAAACCATTTATTCTCCATGGAAAATAACTTTTTTCACTTACTGTCCAGTATCGGTGCGCTCCTGTCATTGGTGACCGTCTTCTTTAGTTTCTTCCCTTTGCTGATGTCAGAGAGAAGGGCATTTCTCCCAGCCTGCTCTGACTTATTCAAGGTGGGCTTTTCAGTATTGGCCTGAAAGGAAACCGTGCAAACTCATATCCGTCTCTTGAATTACAGGCATGTACTACAACACTCAGTGGGGACAGCTAGAGCACTGGAAGATTGTTATCAAGGTTGTTGGCGATGGGCTGCAAATTCTCCACAAGTTTTAGACCCGATGTCATTCTTTTTAAGACCCGGACATTGGGGAACAGATGCAGAAATAAACTGCATTTATTTTTAATGCAGGAAGAGTCAGTTCCCGTTAAAAGTCTTTGAAAATTCAGACCACTGTCTGGCTGTAATCAACAAAGCAAGGGTTGGATGGCTAGAAATGAGAAGGGAATTTTAAGTCTGAGGAGGTTCTGCGGGGTACCACGAGGCTTCGTTCTCCAGAATGTGGCCTGAAGAACAGTTTCTCTCTCTTACCTTTTAGAACTAATCTGGTGCACGGAGAAAAGTCTCTCTAGCAAAATGGGTTACCTGTATCGTTTTTCTAATCCATCAACGTTTGAGAAAAATAATTCCCTCTGTTCACATTACCAAAGTTTTTTTTTCTTTTTGATTTAAGGGAGCTTCGAGGTATATTTTGCAAACAGTTCTATGAGTTTGCTAAACACATACAATCATGTAGGCACTGCCCAAGCAAGATATGTAACACGTCCATCACCCCCAAACCCTTCCTTGTGTCCCTTCTTTGAAAGCTTAGCTCACAGGGATTGCAGAGCCGACAGAAGTGCTGCCTTAAAATATTTGAGTGTTTTCTATGTTTTTGGAATTCCTGGGAAAGATCCTTACCATGAAACTGGGCTCTTGTTTCTTCAGGACTATTTTAGGGAATGGGGACATGAAGAGCCCAGCACACGGGCTTGGAAGTCGGCATGGTCTGTCACACGTGGGCACTGGTCTGGCCTGGCCTGGTCCCCAGGAGGAGTCCTCTGGCAGACCTGAGCGCCCTACTAGGTTGGCCCCAGCCCTTCAGAAAGGGTCTGATATTGGAGGTGCCAGTGAGGGTCATGGCGGGTAAACGGGGAAGTTTAGCTTCATACCTCACCCAGCTAGTAACTACAGTTAGAGGCGGAGGGCGAGCTAAGAAAAACCCTCAAGTAAGCTACACAGAATCTCTGTGTGTTAAACTGCAAGGGTCTTAACTTTTAAAGTATTACTTGTTCATGATAATAACCGTTAACATTTATATAGCTTTTTACAATGGGTCAGGCACTGTTTAAGCACTTCATGCCTATTAAATCCATTTAGCCTTCATCAACCCAAGAGCCCTTATTTTCATTTTAGAGTGAAGGAAACTAAGGCACAGGGAGGTCAGATCAGTTGCCCCAGTCACCCTGCCAGTACAAGGAGGGACTAGGACTTAAACCCTGGCAGTCTGACTCCAGAGCCTTCCCTACCATCTGTTGGAAGGGTAAATGTGGGATCTAAAACGCCCCTTCTCTGAACTGGGGAGATGTTAAAGGTACAAATCTGCACCTGGAGGATGATGTTCTGGAGATCGAATGCACAGCACAGTGGCTACAGTCAACAATGCTGCATTCTCATCTGGCTAAGAGGCCAGACCGTAAATGTTCTCTCGACAAAGAAACACGTGATGTGATAGAGGTGTTAGTTAAAGCTATGGTGCTAATTATAATATATAAATGTGTCAAATCAACACATCATACAGCTTAAACTTCTACAACACTATTTGTCAGTTATATCTCAATGGAAAAAAATTAATAAATAAAATGTCCCTTCCTCAGGGGCCCCAAACACTCCCCACTAACAAGCCTGTTGAGAGCCTCTCAGCAGTCAGTTCCAGAAAAGCTCTTCGCACCAATAGTTCACGTTTGCTAATGGGATCATCCTCTATTGCTCTGAGACTTGTTTCTATAACTTAACAACACACCTTGGACATCTTGGAAAGAGCTTTTAAAATTACCTATTGTCTTCATTTTAAGGATGAGAAAAAACCCTGATGCCGAGAGGTTAGTGAAATATCCACTCCGGATCTCCCGCTGGTTTGGGGTCAGCAGCCCTCGATGGCCTCCCCTTCTGCCTCAGCACTTACGTTGACCCCTGGCCCCTTTGGGTGCTAACTTCTCCCGTGTGGCAGTCCAGGTCCCTTAACTGCACCGTTCCACTACACTGTGTCCTATGAGGCCACTAACCCTTCTTTCTCTCCACTTATCTCTACATCCTACTTCTCTCAGATCTTGCTTTTAGTCAGGCGATAATGGATAGAAATGAGTTTATGGGCTAAAACAGGGTTTCCCAAACTTCAATCATTCTGGTACCACATTCATGATTTTGGTCATTTTCTCATGCTACCTGTGTTTTACATTTTTCATTAAGTCTATTCGCTACGTAATTTACTATACTGCTTTTCAGTGAACATTTTCTTTTAAATTAACTCCCTATTAAGCTCTGGGTATGCTAGTTATAATTTCTAGAACACGAATTAAAACAAACACATGGACATTAAAACAAAAATTAAGGTGTGTACTATCCAGCAATGGTATACAACCTACATTCTGGGGAAAATATAAACTAATCCTGCTATGTTGGCCAGATCAGAGCTTTTCAATCTTATCTAAGTGAAAGACCATTTTTTAAGGAAAATTTTTCAATAACGATGAATTATTAGAAAAATTAATTAGTAAAAAAAAAAAAAAGACATACAAAATGCAATCTTAAAAACAATAGGCAAAATGCTACCATCAAGTTGCTGTCTTTCTAAATGCTTACTCTCAATTTCGATACGTATCTCTGTGGGGACTCTCACCAGCAGTTGGGGACCATGCTTTAAATAGCAATGAGCTAACTGATGATCTGTTCTTTCAACTGGGTTCCTACCTCAGATGGGCTATACCTAAATGTGTCCCATGGCAACCTGGGCAAGAGACTTTCCCTCTTTGAGCCTCAGTTTTCTCAAATGAAAAATGAAGGGCCCATCACTGGGAGGCTTTTTAGCCACAAAGGCTTCACACACTGGGGGAGGCCTTTGTCACGGGGCACGCCTGGGAGCCGCTGTACCACTGCGTGGAGGGCTGCCGGCTTCCCGGAGCAGCGTGCACCAACTTGTGAGGGTGGGCCTATCAAGGACCAGGATGAGCCCAGAGCAGAAATTCCCGTGGGAAGCAGACATCTAAATGCAAGGACAGATTTAAAGGGGGATATAAGTGTGAGGGGAACTTGAGGTAATGGTAGGAGTGGGGGTTATTTGTCAAAAACAGAAAGTGGGAAGAAAGACGGCCAATGGCAGAGGAAAAAAAAAAAAAAGGAGCGAGTCTGGAGAACACTGGAATGGATGCATTTGCAGACAGAGACCTGGGTTTCTGGACTGTCCTGCCCAGAAGTTAAAGGCCAAAAGTTGAGCCCATTTGAATGGAAGCAGTTCAGAGCTGCCCTTGCAAACCTGTCTTGGGCCAGCACCTAGGAATGAACAGGATGCTTCCCTTGCTGGACACAGCAGGGGACACCTAACTACCCCCATATTCCACACGTGCACTGTGCATTGAATGAGACCTTGGGCAGCACAACCCTCCCTGCTGCATGCACTACATCTCAGGCTCTGGCTTACTCCAGAGCCGGGAATGCGCGCCCGTCATATTGAAGCAGAATGCAAAGGCGTGAAAAGCAAGCACATGATGTCAGTTCGACTTCATCTGCCTGCTTTATGCTGGGATGACAGAGGATGAGGAACCACTCACCAAAGCAAACGTGGGTGGTGGCGGAGGCGCTGGAGGGGGAGGGACGGGCATCTTGGACAGTTAAGCTTTCAATAGTCTTGCTGATAAATCTGTAAAATCAAACAAAAAAATAGAAACAAAATACGGTCATATATAGACTTCTTAATAATACTCTGTCTACTCCTCCCCGGTTCCCACCAAAGTGACAGCTCTTCACACAGGCCACGTCTTGTAAGAGATGGAATTACCTTTCTGACATTGCTAAGATGGGACTGTTCTGGAAGGACCCTAGCAGGGAGGTGTCTCAGCCTAAGCACCTGATGAAACTGGAAGCAAAATCCGGCACCTCATGCTGCTCCATTCCACCACCCACCAAAGCGGGCTCGGGGAGCGACCTGTGCTTGGGTAGCTGGAAGGTGATGAGGATACTGCTGGACATGTATCCCAGCAGAGTCTCAAGTGGCTCCTCTTCCTCACTCATTTCCTTCCTTGCTCTCCCACTCCCCCTCCATCCCATGCCTTGCTCTTTTCTGAGCAGATTCCTGACATTTGCCTGGGTCTGGGTACCCACTGTATGAATGCAAAGATGAATCTGTTTCTGCTCTGGCCTTCAGTTCTAGTCCTCCAGGGGAAGAAGACAGAGATAAGGTAACATAAGCAGGTAGAATGATGGATGAGCGGGCTGTATTTGTGCTCCTTGACATTTCCTTGTGGGATCTACGTGGAAAAAAAGAGCGAAAACAGACAGGGACTTAACTCTATGACCTCCTGCACTGTTTACTAGAAATGGGCTTCATTAGGAAAGCTCTGTGCACAGTGTAATTGCCCTGGGAACAAAGGAAAGGCAAGACTCTGGGGCTAGGCGGTAGAGGCTAGGGCAACCCCGGTGGGTAGCAGCATTCAGTGAAGGGGGCAGCAGGCAAACATCAGGGGCTGAAGAAACAGCGGTGAGGAAGCCCCAGGAGCTACAGAAGCCACAAATCCCATCTCTGTTTCCCACAATCCTTGGAGTCCCATCCTGGGTCTCCGCCTGCTGGGTCCCCACCCCAGCAGCACCTCACCCACTTTCTCACCCAAAGCAATCCCAGCTCCTTCCACCTGGTCCAGGCCACCGCTCCCGGTGGGGTCCCCGATCAGCAGCACGGGCACCACCCAGAGCCGTTAGAAACATCAAATCTCAGCCCCTCTTCCCACAACTGAATTTGCTTCAGCATTTGAACAAGACCCCTTGGTGATTCATCTTATTTCAGAAACCTGTTTGCAGAGTTTGAGCCTTAGACCAGTGGGCAGCCTGGGACGCTGACCACCTGAGTTAATACTGTTTCTATGGGCCACGTGCCCCCAGTTTCAAACAGCAGAATTATCTTTCTTTCATTCTCAATAGTCTCTTAGTTGCAGAAAACAATTTCTTAGAATTTAAACTGAGTTTAACCACTAAAAATTAGTGGGGAAAACTTACACCTTGAAACAAGTATGTTGTATTACAGCAGTGCTTCTCAACTGGTGTGCCTCAAGAATTTTTACAACATGCAATACCAGACTAATTAGTCAGGGGCACTGACCTCTTTTCCCTTAGACTGTCAAATAAAAAAAATGATGACAGTCAACACAGCAATAGCTGTCCAGTGTGAATGAATCAAAATTATACCTTATTTTTTGTCAGACTGGCAAAAGATATAATTTTTTTGGTGTGCCTTAGAACTTTAATAATGAGTTTATATGTGCCATGGGATGAGAAAAGGTCGAAAATCTTTTAGCAATACTGAAGTACCGCTGGATGGCTTGCGTTCTGCCAACAGCAATGGATGGAAAAGCTGAGAAGATATGGCTGGACTGGTCAAAGCTGCTGGAAGAAGGAACAAGGCCAGCTTGGAATAGTTCTGTTCCAAGAGGGCCATCTAGAGAATAAAAATTTAAAAACTCCACAAGCAGCAACAGCAGGTCTCATTTATTGACTGTTGATTGGACCCAGGGAGCATTATTTACCTTATCTCTACCTTTTACAGAAAAAGTAGGATGATTCTGCTGGTTTTACAGAGGACACTAAGACTCAGAGAAATTAAGGCACTCACTCAAAATCCCACACAATTTGTTCAAATCAAGTCCTTTCAACCCCTGCTCTTTTTAGATAGGCATTTTTAGGCAGTTAAAGGGCTAGCTGACAGTGCTACCGCTCACTTGTAAACTAGGTCAGAATCTGTTTTTCAATAAACGATTGTCTCAGACAAGGATTCTTTTAAAATGGGTTCCTTAAATTGGTTTTTCGCATGACGCCAATTATACACCCGTGAGGCCAGGCGGGCAGTGGGAGCAGGGCCGGCGCCTGTGCTCGGAGGTCTGCAAAGGGGGTTCTCCAGCCCCAGAGGGCACCTTCGGAGGCCGCAGTCTGATGTGTCCTAGGACCAGGAGGAAGGACAGGGACCTGAAACTGGATTCAGGACCGGCTGACTGTGAAGCATACTGTAGCCAAAGCGATGGCATTATCAGAGCTGGAGAAAGCGGCTCAGGAAGGGGGCGGTGTGGCCGGGACCACCCAGAGGACCCAAGAGATGGGGTCCATGGAACAGATCATCCATGTGCTCGGTGGATGAAAGGCCCCTTAACACTCAAATTTATTCTGTCTGATCCCATGTTCACCAACTAACCTGCTATCCTAATACCGAGAAGGATGGATTCAGGTCACCCACCAGGAATTTCATATGGGTTTGGTTCTCATGAGTCAGTCTCTGGTTGCAAAGGTCACACTGAACTTCTGTCCTGTACATCTTTGGGACCAAGCCATGGTAAAAGGACCCTTTCAGGGGACTGCTATCCTCAGGTTCTCTTAATTATTTTACAGTTTTCTGTTGTTGCTATTATGGTTCTGACTACGCACCAACTGACGTAGATATACCCCTGGACCTCAGAGGCCCGGCGTTCCCTTCCCAGCCCCCTCAGCTACACAACAGGGAGAAGCTCTGTGGGGGAGCGCTCTCAACTCTGCGAGGGCGATGCAGACCGGAGTACACTGAACAACACCAGGGGTTAGGGAGGCTGACCCTGCACAGCCGTATGTAACTTTTGACTCCCCCAAAACTGAACTGCCAATAGCCTGGTGTTGACTGAAAGTTTTATTGATAACAGTCAATTAATACATGTATGTATTATGTACTGTATTCTTACAATAAAGCAAGCTGGAGAAAAGAAAATGTTATTAAGAAAATGGTAAGGAAGAGAAAGTATGTTCACAGTATTTTCTGAAAAAGAAATCCGCATATAAGTGGACCTGCCCAGTCCAAACCAGCGTGGTTCAAAGGTCAACTGTAGTCTTTTCCCTCCCCCCAATTTCTCACTCTCTTCCTGATAAACCACTCCCATTCCCTCCTCAGTGCTGACAGGTGATCAAGGAGGCTCCCACTGCCTCTTTCCTCCTGCCTAGCTGGACAGGTGCTTGGGTGGACCCAAGATGGCAAGAAACCTGACTCGATCCGGCCGCCTCACCACATGGGTCAAAGAACACCAGTCCCACATCCCCCACGCCGGGCCCACACCAGACCCACTTCTTGGCTGTCTTCCCACCAGACTTTGGACTCCACTAGGTCTCCCTAATACCTGGCACAAAGTAAAGGTCTCATTAAATATGAATTGAGTGAAAGAGCCAGGTGTCACACAAATGGCCCCTCTGACCGCTCCAACATCAGCCCTTGCATTCTGAGCTTTGGGCAAAGAATCAGCCCCGTGTCAGCGGGACTTGCTAGCATTGAGCACAGGACTTGCTCTCATGGCAGTTCCTGACTTTGCCAGTGGAGCAGAAGCCAAGCCTTTGGGAGCACCTGGCTTCCCTCCTCTCCTGGAGTTAACAGTCCGTATAGGAACTAGAACTGGGCCTTAGTGACAGGCGTCAAAAGCAGCTTAGGTCCTACTGGACCAGGCGTTCCTAACCTCGATCCTTCCACCTGCAGGGTCTTTGGATCAAAGTCAGGGGTTCATCAACTTGGATGGGAAAAAAGGACACATTTATATCCCCTGAGCTCTAACAAAAAACTAGCATTTCCTTCAATTACAAAGGTAAGCCACAGACCACAGTACCTGAAACTTTTTCACCAATAGATTTTCACATGATTATTTTCACATCATGTTATAATTATATATTATAGTTGCAGATCTGTCTTGAAATTATGGTACTGTTTAGATCTTGTACATATTACTATATCGCACAAATTTCTATACTATACAGATATTGTACATATTTCTATATAGTTAGTTCCTTAGTAATCCTCTGTATTTTGTTTTATGCATTTAACAACAGTCCAAGGAGTCCTTTGGGCTTTGCCAGACACTAGTGTGGTCTATGGAATGAAAAGAGTTAGAATCCCTTTGAGAACATGAGATCTGGGTCAGGAGAATATGATTTTGAATCTTTGCTCTGCTACCTAATAATCTGAGGTAAGAATGTAACGTCTCTGAGCTCCCTTTCCCATCTGTTAAGTGGGAGCTCCTGGGAGGATGGCATGAAATGGTGCTCGGCAAGCTCTCAGCATGGCTGGTAGAGTAAGTAACCAATAGGCGGCTCGAGATCTCTCTCCCTTGAGGGTGAGCACAAGTCCCCCTGGTGTGAGTGCCGCTCGAGCACCTGGCAGAGAAGGGACCAAGCTGGTGACCTGGCTGAGGTCCATGCTTTGCCCAGAGTTGTGTGTTGGTTGAGCTGCACAAGTGGAAATGAGGCAGCCTGAAGACGTGGCCTTGCTGCATGTGGTTCCTCCCTTGGGAGATGGGAACACGGCTGGAAAGGCAGCCCTCATACAAGGCAAAGGACTAGGGCAGGTGTTCTGAAGCGTGGGCTCTCCCTTGCATCAGGATCAGCTGCGTGCTTTTGGAGACTGCTCTGTCCTGCCGTACACTGCGGTGAGGCTCCCGAAAGCTGGAGGATCTCTGACCTGCCCATTTGCTGATCCTTGTCCTCCCACCCGACCCTCACCCCAGGTATCACATTTGTAAGAACATTCACTTCTGAGAATTATTTTGAAGAATCATTTCACTGTTAAAATAACTTTCATCAGAGAGAGAAAAGCCAGATTCTTCTAAAATGTTCACCTTGTGCGTTGAATTTTATGTGCACAAAGAAAACCAG